TTTTTCTATATATTTTTAGCTGTCCAATTAATTTTTTTCTATTTTTGGTAGAGACGGGGTCTCGCTCTTGCTCAGGCTGGTTTCGAGCTCAAACAATCCGCCCGCCTCGGCCTCCCAGAGAGCTAGGATTACAGGCGTGAGCCACCGCGCCTGGCCTGGTGGGTGCTTTTGTTCTTAGGACTCAAATCTTCCTTCAGTCCAGAGAAGTTTTCCTCCATGAGTCCTGTGAGTATTACTTCTCTGATCTGTCCTTGAATTCTTTTTGTTTGTTTATTGAAAGAATTTGCCTTCCCACAGGAGAAAGGAAAAAAACCACAACTTTTTATCTGAGGAATGCGAGAGCCCCTTTAAATTATCAGGCGGCAGAGAAGCATTTAAAACGTGACAGCAGTCACATCTCATTTCCCCCTTGAGCTAAATAATTACCTCTTGAAGCCACTGGCTATGCAGGCTCCAGACTAACCGACTCCAAGTGGCCATTAAATGCCACACACTGGACCCCATAACTCACACGTTATAGTTCAACAGTGGACAGCAAGTCACTCGTCAATGCTGTCTCTGCAAACCAGTGAGAGTTCCTGCTGGACAACTTTGTATCGGCCCACTCCTTGTTCCCTTTTGCCTTGAAAAATCTGCTTGTAAGAAAGGCCGCGCTGAGCCCTCCCCAAGGCAACTTGGAGTGTGTCCCTGGCTGCCGTCCTCAACTTCAGCCCAAATAAACTCTCAATATTAATCTTGCCTCAGCTTCTTCCTTTAGGTCCACAAAACAGATCTCATCTTTGGGCTCATAGTATTAATTGCTTTCCCATTTTACTCTGCCAGGTTTCTGCCAGGTGGTTTCCCCTGAGCTGCTTCTCCTTGGAGTGTACTTGTTATTTAGTTTACGGTCACGTATCCTCAGCTGGGTGGCTCCTTGCGGGCAAAGAGCCCAACCTGAACTGCGCTGGCATTTCCCAGTCCCTGGCAGCCTGGCTTTCTAGCGGTGGGTTCTCAGTGAATACAAAGTGTCTGTCCCCACATGCTGCCATGATGAAGCCATTGGAATGTTCATGATGTTTCTTTGTGTCTTCCAGAGGCTTTCTGAATGAAGTTTTCCAGGAAGGAGGCCCAGATGGTTCTACTGCCCGCCTCATGAGAGGAGAGATCACATTTTCCCAGGTGAGGGGGTCACCGCACAGACCCCCTTGGGTAGGCATTCTCTGCCTGCATGCTCATCTTCTGTGCTGACCGGAAGCTCACTGAGCACAGGGCCACATCTTCTTCACCCACGTACCCCTGACAGCACGTGACTCGCAGGGCTGATCTGGAAGGCCTAGGGACGTAAGAAGAGGCATTTAAGACCGGTTTGCAGTTTTTGGGCCAAGCAGAGGGAAACTTCCGAGCCCTCAAAGTTGTACACCACGAAGCGACCACAGCCAGAGCAACTATTTTAGGGCAGGGCCACCGGGTCTGTTAATTCAATAACCATCTAATGGGTGGACAAGTTTTGAATCAGAGCTCCCACTTACAGACTGTTCGACCACAGCAAGTTACTTAACTTCTTTAAATCTCAGTTTTGCCATCTATAAAATGGGGTTGATAACACCACCTATTTCGTCGGTTGTTGTGAAGCATAGAAAGTGCCTAGCCCAGTGCCTGGCACATAGTGTGTGCTCAAAAAATAGTAATTATTATCGTTAGTATAACCTCAATTATTTTTAACAAAGTAACCAGGATCTAACCACTACTTGAATTCTCAACTAGGGCTTCTCTAAGAAGAAAGGCTATTGGGAATCTACTTATAAGTATACAGATAAAACATTCTATTATATATGTGTATTTTTTTTTAATTTTATGAATTACAGCCACCTATCGCTCTGTCAGAAAACTTGGGACCCACCATGATAGCAAACACCCACTGTTTCTGTGCAGGCGAATGTAGTATTAATGTGAGGAGTATTGCAGTCACTTTAAAGCACACATACACAAAGACACACACACAAACATCATGGCAAATTGTGAATGAAAACTGTGATGAAGCCAGGTGTGGTGGCTCACGCCTGTAATCCTAGCTCTCTGGGAGGCCGAGGCGGGAGGATTGCTTGAGCTCAGGAGTTTCGTGACCAGCTAGAACAAGAGTGAGATCCTGTCTCTAATAGAAAAAATTAGCCAGGCATGGTGGCATGAGCCTGCAGTCCCAGCTGCTCAGGAGGCTGAGGCAGGAGGATCGCTTGAGCCCAGGAGTTTGAGGTTGCTGTGAGCTAGGATGGACGCCACGGCACTCCAGCCTGGGACAACAGAGTGAGACTCTGTCTCAAAACAAATAAAAGAGATTCCAGAGAACTAGCTAGCCAGCCCCTTCCACCAGGTGAAGACAGTGAGAAGGCACCGTCTCTGAATCAGGAAGTGGGTTCTTAGCAGACACTGAATCTGCAGGTGCCTTGATCTTGGACTTCCCAGAGAGACAGCCTGGCCTGCCTGATGTGTGAGCCGAGGCTGAACTGTGAGAAATAAATTTCTGTTGTTTATGAGCTACCCAGCCTCTGGTGTTTTGTTATAGCAGCCCAAACAGACTAAGACAGGGTCTTAGGAATAGTGCAATCACAGCGTGTAAATACACCACAGTCCAGGCTGCTGTTAGTGGGCATTGGGGTAGTTTCCGGTTTGAGACTCTTAGGAATAGTGCCACTATGAACATTTTTGTCCATGTGTTTGGGGGAACATATGTCGACATTTCCAGTGGGATGTGTCCAGGAGAGGAATTGCTTGGTTACAGGGAATGCATGTGTTCGGATTTAGTAAACACTGCCAGAGCTTTTCTGAGTGGTCGTATCATTAATTCGCTTTGGCAGTGGGCGCCGCTCATGGAAGAAAACCGCAAGAAACACTGCGAGGCCTCTGGAATCCGCCTCCCCGAGGATTTCTCTCTGAGTCAAATCATTGGCAAGGTGATTTCAGCAAGAAAGATCAACCAGCCCATGCTCCAGGCAGCTGTCACTCTCAGAAAGAAGGGTAAGGGTCTGATATTGGCCATTCTCTGGCCCAACCACCCAGAATCCTCGGGAGGGTTAGCTCAGAATCCAACTAAGTGTGTTTTGAGATCATAGATCTTCTGGGCCTCGATGGAAGGCTGTTCTTAAAACATGGCCCCAAAGCAAGCTTTATCAAATGGCAAAACCCAGTACTGCTACCCATAGAATAGCTGGAAAAGTGATAGAATTTTATCTAATGAAGCGATTTGTACCAGTGACTATCTCGTGAGCAAAATTCTCTCCTTCCGTGGCACTAGTGATGTCCTGACCTTCTGTCATAGTAATTAAAAAACAAAGCCTTTTAAGCAGCTGTGATTTTTCCCAGCCCCTGGGTGTCGGAGTGGCTGAGCTATGAGCTGGCTGACATCGGTGACATCGGCTCAGATGATGTCACGTGGTTTAAGACACGAGATCACGTTCGCCCGTAGGCATTTATTCAGTGTCAGTGCCCTGACACTTCCTAGGCACACTGGCAACCATCCCACTCCCGTATAAGCAGGCCTACCTGGTGCGGCTAAGCCACTCCACGTCCAAAACCCTCCCTCATGTTACGTGGGAAGAGTTTCACCATCAACCCACCGAGTCTTGTTTCCAGCACCGCCTGGTTCTCGCCCTTGCTGGTTAGGCACATAAAGCCAGGGGATAATGCTATCTCTATTTATGCTTCTCCAGTTTGGGGATGACAGCCCAGTCCCTAATAGCCAAGGCAGATGTTTTGAAATGTAATTGAGCAGAGTTTGTGACAGCATAGGCGAGAAGGGCCACAGGACCTTCACTGTGAGTGTCGGGGCAGCTCATAACTTGTCCGAGCTTTGTTTGCTCATCTGTGAGTGTGGGATAGCGAGATCTGTCTGGTCCTCTGCACGGTGCTGAGCATCAAATGAGCCGACAATGTCCAAACAGCACTCTGCAAGGAGGAAGGGGTGGTAGTGTCCCCATCTGGGCTTCTGAGAGCCCTGAATGACCCCAGCTCACTCTCAGGTCTGTGTTGGGAGGTGCTTACGGGCAAAGATAATTTTTCCCTCTTGTCACTTGAAAGCTGGGCGAAAGGAGATTGACGTAAGAGAGCAGGACCCCGCTCAGTCCCATTACGGGGCCCCTGTGGGGGACCTGGGGCATCCCAACACAAAGTTCCAGTCCATTCACTGGTGACTTTTTGCGCAGGATTTACGACCTGCATCCTCACCAACAACTGGCTGGACGACCGAGCCGAGCGAGGCGGCCTGGCCCGAATGATGTGTGAGCTGAAGCCGAACTTTGACTTCCTGATAGAGTCGTGTCGGATCGGAATGGCCAAGCCTGACCCTCAGATCTACAAGTTTGCTCTGGACACCCTGAAGGCCAACCCCAGTGAGGTACGTAGATGCTTCCTTCCAGGAGAGAAGAATGTTCCAGAGATATTGCAACCAAAGAAAACCGAGGAGTGAGCAGGTGGGGTGCATCTGGGGAGCCTGGCAGCACAGTTCTAGGTCTGCTTCTGCCAGACCAGGACTTCTCCTAAAGGACTTTTATCCATCTGTCCGTCTAGAAAATTCCACCAGAGATGGGCATCTGTCCCCTTTGTGTGGCTCTTACAGGACTTTGGTCAAAACAGGCATCATCAAAAGCTGTTAGACCAGCTGCCTCGGTTTTCTTGCGAAGAAACAGGGAACCTGGGAGGCCTTCCCGAGGCCACAAGGCTAGTCAGGGTTCCCCAGCAAAGGGCGAGTGGGGGTCGGCCCCCGGTACTGCCGCAGTCTCCTACCAGGCACCTCATGCCCCTGAAGCCTGTCCTTATCCTAGCTCCAGAGATCACCTCCCCTAAAGTGCTGTTCTCATAGCGTCTCCCTGCTCTAATCTTCAAAAGGTGTTTGGACCAGGATTAAATTCCTTCCTCTCCTGTTTCTGACCCTCCCTGGCTGGCCCCGCCTCCCCCACGAGCTGATCAGAACAAATCCTAAACCCTGGGCTCTATCCTTGGGATGCCCACTGGATCCCATCCCTGATGCCCAGTTCCCCTCCTGGACTTTGATCCTGCCCTATTCCACGCCTGGAGTCGGCAGGTAGTGCTCCGAGTCTACACGGGTGGGTGTGTACACAGATGGAGCAGGCTCCCCGTTATGGCTTTTGGGCTGGGTGAGCTGCTTAGGATTCTAGGCCACCCTTGTCCAAGACAATAAATTCACCCATACTTTCTTCTGTAACTCCCAGGGTCTGTCTTTCTTTCTTTCTTTTGAAATGGAAATCTTTGATCCATTCAGAATCTATTTTGGGGCAAGATGTAATACAAGGATCCAATTTTTCTCCCAAACAGTTAACCAGTTATATCGATGCCGTTAAATAATCTTCCTCACTAACTGGACATCTTTGACACCTTCATTAGAAACAAATTCTCATTTGTATTTGAGTCTATTTCTAGACTCTCTTCTAGTTTATAGATACGTCTATTTCTTTTCTAATACCAAACTATTCTACCTTTTGTAGCTTCATAATCTGTTTTATTGTCTGTGCTCATTAGAGTTCTTTTCCAGACCTTTATTTTGTCTATTCAAACCCATTGATTTTCCCAGATGCATTTTTAGTGTCGTCTTGACAAGTGTTTATCCTCTCCTAATCTTGCAGTTTCAGAATTGGCTGAAACCAATAGGTATATGTGGGGGTGTACTTATCTGTGTTTTATGTGTACACTTATGTAATTAAATGTTTTCAGTTTCAAGAGTAAATGGTTACATAGAAAGAAAAAGAATTTTTCATCTCTTTATCATAAAATAACCCCTGTTTGCAATTTAATGTGTTTCTTTCTGGTGTTCTCCCCCTTGCTGTTTTGGGTTCAGGTTGTTTACTTAGATGACATCGGGGCTAATCTGAAGCCAGCCCGGGACTTGGGAATGGTCACCATCCTCGTCCGCGACACTGACACGGCCCTGAGAGAACTGGAGAAAGTAACTGGGACACAGGTAAGTTGACCTCTGAGTGGCTCAGGCTTCCTGCCACCCGGCTGTCATGTGCACACGCAGCGGAGAAAACCGTGAGTGGAGAAGCCAGGTCGGCGGCGCTCGTTGCTGTGTGCATGACCCCAGGTGCACTCTGCATGGGGTCTGTCACCTACCGGGCAGTCAGCACCATGTCCTTGAAGAACATCTTGTTTCTTTCTCTGCAATCAATGCACAGGGAAGCAGGTACTCTGAGAGCAAGAATTTGGACTAGTCTTGGTGCCAGAGTCAGGGGGACCAAGGCAGTGGTGGGACATTCAAAGACCCTGACCTTGCTTTTCAGAATAAATATTGAAAAATTTTTCTCTAAGGAGCATAGCCCCTGCCCGGGCTGCCTGAGCCTGCCACTGGCACTTGGTGCAAAGAGGGAAGCCTCTTTAGAGGAGGACGGGACACCCTCAATGACATCCTGAAGCTGATAGGGTTTCGCCTGCCCCCCGGGTCTCAGGCAGCTTGTACTTTTGGGGTGACCTGAGATCAACAACCTCACTGAGTCCACGGGCTCCTGCACAGCACAGGGGAGGGGGCAGCAGGCTAGGGTGCTCGGCCCAGCCAAGGCTGCACAGCCATTGCCTCAGCGGGACCCGTGTTGGTTTGCTTGGGCTGCCATGACAAAGTGCCACAGACACGTGGCTTCAACCACAGACGTTTATTTCCTCACAGTCCTGGAGGCCGCAAGTCCCAGATCAGTGGGGCCTCTCTCCTTGGCTTGTGAGTGTCCATCTTCTCCCTGTGTCCTCACGTGGCCTGTCCCCTGTACCTGCCTCTTTCCTAGTTTCCTCTTTTTCTAAGGACACCAGTCAGATTGGATTGGGGTGCGCCCTTGTCACCTCATTTTACCTTAATCATCTCTTTAAAGGCCCCATTTCCAAATACAGTGCCATTCTGAGTTTATCATTTACTTCCCCATTTTAGAGGTCAGATAACTGAGTCACTGAGGACAGCCAGTTCTTTCTCAGGTGACACCTCAGGACGAAAGATGACAAATCCGGCAGTAGGCTTCACAGCATGTCCGGCACCAGGGTTCAGGCAGAATGAAACAGCCACGTCCGTGTGCCCAGTATCTCGTTCCTTGTCAGTTTCACCTCGGGGAAACTGATTCCAATAAATGACAGAAGCAGAGGACAGAGTGCATGCACGTCCACAGCAGCTTTACTCACACAGCCGAAAGGTGCCCGTGGGCAGACAGGTGGATAAACCACGTGTGGTGGATCCACGCCGTAGGAGGTTACTCTGCAGGCAGAAGACTGTCACGGGCTGGAGCGTGTGCTCCCGGAATCTGCACACTGAAGCCCTACGCCCAGGCCCTCAGAATGTGACTGTATTTGAATAAAGGGCCTTGAAGGGGCCCATTAAGTTACAGCGAGTTAAGAGGGTGGGTCTGAGTGGTGTCCTTAGAAGAAGAGATTAGGACACAGACACACACAGAGGACGGCCACGTAAAGACGCAGGGAGACAGGCATCCACAACCAAGGGGAAGGCCTCAGGAGAACCAGCCCTGCCCACGCCTTGATCGTGGACGTCCGGCCTCCAGAACCGGGAGGAAATGGATGTTTGTGGGTGAAGCTGCGCAGTCCGTGGCATTTTGTCATGGCGGCCTGAGCAGACTCACACAAAGGCACAGGGAGTTTGATTTTGGCTGACTCCAAGGAGAAACGTTTCAGCAGAGGTGACCAAAGATGGAACGGCAGCTGAGGAACTGCTGCAGAGAAGAAGTGTACGCACTAAAGTCCGAACTCTCAGAGACTTAGAGTGAGTGATTTTGCCTCTTTTTTTTTTTTTTTT